TCTCTCTCTCTCTCTCTCTCTCTCTCTCTCTCTCTCTCTCTCTCTCTCTCTCTCTCTATCTATCTATCATCTAGTCTATCTATCTAGATCATCTGTCTATCATCTGTCCGTCCATCCATCCATTCATCCATCCATTTATCCATCTACCTATCTCATCTATACTATGCCGATGTTACCAGTGGTGGGTTCCAAATTTTTAAACTACCAGTTCGAGTGCCCTCCCGTGGGTGCTTGCATATGTGCATGATGCTTTTGCACATGCATATGTGCGTGACACTTCTGTGCATGCACATGTGCGTGACACTTCTGTGCATGCGCATGTATGTGATGCTTCTATGCATGTGTGTGACGCTTCTGCACATACATGTGATGCTCTGTGCCTCCCGATGCTGCTACTACTGGTTTAGCCAAATCGGGCCGAATCAGGAGCAACCCACCACTGGATGTTACCCAGGGGACTGCAGTGCTAGTACAGAATACTTATTTGGCTGCCTTACTACTGCTAGCCCATTCGATTCAGACTTGTGCAAGAAAGATGAACGGCATCCTGCAGTGTCATCCGAGACTTTCTCTCTCCACTGAAGTCACCTCACAAATGAGTGTCACATCTGGGAAGGTCCAGTGCTGGCAAGAATCTGACGTCCGCCACAGAGCACCAGCTCATCTTCCCACCAAAGTAGTGCCTCTTTATCTACTTGCATATGACATGCTTTTGAACTGCTGGTTTGCACTCCAAGTAGTCCTTGACTTACAAACATTCATTTAGTGACTGTTCAAAGTTACCAACGGCACTGAACCAAGTGACTTATGACTGTTTTCACACTCACAACAGTTGCAACAGCCTCATGGTCTGATCGACATTCTGACCCTTGGCAACTGGCATGTATTTATGACACTCGCAGTGTCCTGGGGTCATGGGATCAACTTTTGCGATCTTCTGCCAAGCAAAGTCCATGGGGAAGCCAGGTGCACTTAACACCCATATTACTAACTTAACAACTGCAATGATTCACTTGACCACTGTGGCAAGATAGGTTGTAAAATGGGGCAAAACATACTTCACAACTGTCTTGTTTAGCAATGGAAATTTTGAACTCAGTTGTGGTTCTAAGTCAAGAACTAGATGTACAAATATACGGGAGCTAAAGCATTTTAGCCTGATCCTGCTGTGTGTTTCTAATTGCTGATGTAAAGTATATTGGTCTCTTATGAGACTCTTCTATGAAGCTGAGATGTGTAGAGCTTGAGTAATATAACTGTTAATAATTGAGTGAACGTGGCATTTGAAAGGTTAAAAAAGTGAACAGTAACAATGGAATTCATTTAACGGGAAGCACATAGAAATTTCAGGATTGTTTTACTCTTCTGTGCAGGTTGGATATATTTTAAAAACATAACCTTGGGCCCCATTATTTCACTTTTGTAACAAAGCCTTTAGGGCAGGGGTGTCAAACTCAAGGCCTAGGGCCAGACCCAGCCTGCGGGGTACTTAGATCTGGCCCACGGGGCCACCCTGGAAACAATGAAGGACTGGACTGTGGTGCTTCTGCCACCAAAAATGGAGTTTGGGAGGGCTGCACCTGGCCCTCCTGAGCTCCATTTTCGGTGACAGAGGGTTGCAGGAGGCTCTGGTAGTCGAAAACCGAGCTCAGGAGCCCGTTTTCGCTGGCAGAATGCTTGGGCCACCACAGGTGCCCCCGACACGAGTGATGTCGAGCTGGCCACACCCACCCTGGCCGCACCCACCCCAGCCCCCCCAAGGTCAAATACAACCTTGATGCAGCCTTCAATGAAATTTGAGTTTGACACCCCTGTTTTAGGGTCTCTACGGATCCTAGGATTGTTTTAAGCAATAAAGATTATGCTTTGGGGTATGACTTTGGTTTGCAAAATGGTAGCTTCCCCTTTTTAATTGAAAAATAAAATAATGGGGACATAGAGTACGGTAAGTATTATGATGGGTTCCAGAAATAGAGAAAGAAACATAGGCGAGGCAGAATTTGATGGATGGACGAAATTCATGGATGAAGTCTAGTTGTTTCCTAACAGAATAGTTTTCAAGGCAGGTGAGCTGAGAATGTTCTGGTATGAAAGACATGACTATACAGAGAACAGCAAAGTGGGAGACTTTCACCCAGTCAACTTGATCTGGTTGCTAGAAATGTTGTGATTGCAGTTCTACATCATGCAATAAGAGGTAAATGGAGTAGTACAATAGAAACTAAAATGCAACTGTTTGAATTTTATAGTGTTATTTTTAAAGCTTTGGGACCTCCTCTGCAAGCAACGCGCATTGATTCTTGATAATGCCAAAAAGGGCAGCTGGTGTACATGAGGCTCTGTTGTTCATCATTTGTGTTTGATGTGCGTTTACAGTGTCCATTTATGGAATTTGGTTTTACGATAAGGAAGAATGCCAAAGAATTGCAGAGCTGATGAAAAAGTAAGTGCCAGTTGGCAAAAACAGACAAGCAGGGTGGGGGTGGAGGTGGAGGGGCGATGGTAATGTATTTTTTTAAAATGTTATGTCACTGTTACTATAATACACTTTTTAACATTAGCCTCTTTTCAACTGAGATTGCTGACATAGAGACATCGAACGTATTAAAGCAGAACATCAACCAAAGTTATGGTCTTATGACTGTTTCTTTCCTGTTTGAATAGAATAGAATAACAGAGTTGGAAGGGACCTTGGAGGTCTTCTAGTCCAACCCCCTGCTCAGCCAGAAAACCCTACGCCACTTCAGACAAATGCTTATCCAACCACTTCTTAAAAACCTCCAGTGTTGGAGCATTGACAACTTCTGGAGGCAAGTTGTTCCACTGATTAATTGTTCTAACTGCCCAGAAATTTCTCCTTAGTTCTAAGTTACTTCTCTCCTTGATTAGTTTCCACCCATTGCTTTCTGTCCTACCCTCAGGTGATTTGGAGAATAGTTTGACTCCCTCTTCTTTGTGGCAACCTCTGAGATATTGGAACACTGCT